AAGCCACATTTGGTTATCTAATGTGTCTAACGTGGGTAATTGAGTCCCATATTTTAGCGTTATAAATCCGTAGACTTACCGATATTCCGCCGGGGAGACATACAGTATATCTATGTCTCACTAATTTTTCCTTTATCTAAGTTTTGAGTGTTATAATGGTAACCCAAAAGTCTGTACCCGCTTATTGAAAGCTATCTTAGGGCTGTATCTTTTGAATAAAGGTATTAGTGTTTTAATTTTGTTGCACATCTTCCATTTTGCCAATTTCAGCTTTCGACAGGTTACACACCTCGAGCGACCACGTCCATCTTACTACTTTATGATAACCTCTTATTTTAATGAGAACATAACTAAAGTCTATAATTTACGTAATTCAGGTAAAGATTACCACAGTGCAGTTTAGGCCAAATATACATGATAAGGATATAGCTAAGATTAGTTGTAAGCTAAGGTAGGTGATTGAAACGTCCGCCTGTAGTCACATTATTTGTTGTTTGCTATATTTTCTTTCTTGTGACTGCAAGCAGCTATGTCTATATATTTTCACGGTGAGTCTAGAAATTTTAGCCAAGAAACAAGTGTTGAAGTTGGAATAATATGAGACATTAGTCCAGGAGTGAGAAGGAACTCTGTACTCCACCAGGCACTGCATTCATTCACCCTCATACTTTCCATCAAGAGTACTGATACAGACTTGTGGTCAACTAAGACCGCTGGCTATGTCATTCATTCTGTATCATTTGTTCTTTGGCCATCAGGACCGCTGGCCATGTCAGCCAATCTGTATCGTCTACTGTGGAAACAAAACAAGCTGCACATTTTAAGGAACAAGGTTGCACTGTCATTCCGTGGGGAAACTTTTATACTGCTCGTAGGCTGTCAGCATTTAACACCTATTCCATAACACTGGACTGAGAGGGAAACATTTGGTAGTAGCACTTTACTGACCACTTCCACATAAAGTGGAGTAACAACTGAGTGAGTTTAGACTAAATTTTAGAAACCAGAACTCGGTGACATTGTCCCCAAAGTGAAATGGTTATCAAATTATTTATATTTTCTCCTAAGCGGATTGGTTATTAAATGACTTAGCATCTCAAAAACATATCCAGTGACCAGATGAGAGGTAGCACAGCATCAATCTTTCTAACATTCAACGCATGGCTAAGCACTATTTTGAGAATTTTAGATGTATTCTTATGAGAGTAAGGAAAGGTATAGTTCTTCTCATCATCAAGTGCATATGTTTTTCTTGTGCTTTGGTGAATATGTCAATGCATCTTAGTTTACGTTATGTACCGTCAATCAGACTAAGTTCTGACAGCGAGTCATCTTTAGTTTCATCTTGTTTAGTCCCCATCTTTCAACAGTGAATTATATGTAACTATTGTTTACGTGACCCCGTTCATAGTCGTACTGGCGGGAGGAGAGAAATGTGAATAACTAAAGCGCGACTTCATTTTTTTTCTTTTGTTTTGATCTCAGGTAAGCTCTTTGAATTTTTTATGTTTACAAAGTAAACTTTTCAGGGAATTTCACCTTGTTGATTTCAAACAATGAGGAATTATAAACAGCCGATTACTCTGTGAAAGGTTTAAAATTCAAGTTCACTGATTTTTTTATAATGTGCAATTGTTTTAGGATGAGTGGCTTAGGGTAAAACTTCCCACCCCTCACTGCCCCACATTAGTACCCACGTTCTTTTGTGCCTTTGTCCTGGATAATGCACAACTTGAGCATGACCTTCCCAATCCCCGTTGGGAGCAGTTAAATTGTTATTTAAATACAGTTGCTAAATGCAGCATTAATTCTAAACAACAATGGCTATGAGTTGGATAGGGGCCATATCTTTGGGGTCCTTTTTATCCAACATTGTAGGTAAAATGTTAACCCACAATAAGAAGTTTTTTTCTTCTATGTATAAAAAAATGGTCTATATTCAGTGTTTCTTTAAACGAGAAATGACTCTTAGAATAAAACAGAATTCATAAGAAAATATTCTATTTTTTATGACTTTCGTCTTAAAGGGTAAAAAAACCGCATTCAAATTAAAGTGGCCGTCTTACACATATTCTTTAAGTATTAATATAGCAGTTTGGGTTTTGAGAATCAGTAGAGTAATTTGGTTCTTTGAGTAATAATATGAAAATTTTATTTTTTGAGACCCAAATGACTATTTGGATTTTTGATTTGTTTGTTTGTTTTTAATTATGCACAAAGCTCCACAAGGGCTATCTGTGCTCTGCCCACCACGGGTATGGAAACACGGATTCTAGCACTGGGAAGCTGGATTTTTGAAAGTCAATATGACAAATTGGTTTTTTGAATGGTAATATGACAGTTTGGTTCTTTGATATCCAATACGAAGACTTCGTTCTTTGAGTGTTAATATGACAGTTTGTTTGTTTGTTTTTAATTATGCACAAAGCTCCACAAGGGCTATCTGTGCTCTGCCCACCATGGGTATCGCAACCCGGTTTCTAGCGTTGTAAGTCTGCAGACATACCCCTGTGCCACTGGGGGGCAGGTTTGTTTGTTTTAAGTTAAGCACAAAGCTACACAATGGGCTATCTGTGCTCTGCCCACCACGGGTATCGAAACCCGGATTCTTGCGTTGTTCGTCTGCAGACATACAGCTGTGTTAAAGGGGGGTTAATATGACAGATTGGTTCTTGGGAAAACGTGATACCATAAAATTTCGAAATGGAGTTTTGTAAAGTTGCGGTAAAATAGCTTAATTAATTTGTATAAGAATAAAAGTATATTAATTGTAATATTGAAGTTGGTTGGAAAAACTCAGTTTAGAAAATTATTTCACTAGTAATATGAGTTAGCAAATTAGAAATAGGAGTTATAGGTTATATAAGCACTAATTATCTGGCTTTCTTTACAGGTATACATGTGTATTTTTGATTACGAGACACATGTGATAAAGATGGCGAATTTAGTTTCATCTTTCGGGTTCGATACTTCTGTGTAATTTCCAACCTCCGACTTTAAGAGTGATGAGAATTATCCTTCCGCCGTAGAGAAGTGATATAATCTAAAAGATCACAAACTGTTGAATATACTATAAATATTACCATGTACGCTAAATATGTCAGAATTATTCTGTACGAATTACCTTAAGGGAAGAACGTTCATAAAAGGCTTCTGCGACCGAATTTTGGACTTAACTTTAGATTTTAACGCAAACAGATGATTATTAGTCTCGTATACAAAATCAGTGGGCCAATTGGGTAGATATAGAATTTAAACACGTGTTTGTTCAGCGACATGGATATCCAGTTCTTAAGGTAAATCATTGTTCATAGTAAAGATGTTTTTATCTATTTAATTTTATCTTATTTCTCGAAACAAATCGAACAAATATTCTTTCAACTTCAGCAGTTAAAGTATTATATAGGCTTAACTTAATAGATAGAATAGTTCCACAAATTGTGTATAGGACTTTCTCGGTGTATCAAAACAATTTCCGTTACCTATAATGGATAAGTGTGTGATTAATTTTGCTTCAACACGTCGAAACCGTATTTGTTATGTATTTACGACAGTTGTGTTTGATTCTTTGTTAACGTAGCAAATTAATATGTGATAAGAATAGCAAAGCTTTTAATTAATTCTTTCTTAACAAATTGAAGTAGTCTTTGATAGGAATTGCAGAGAGTGTTGTGAATTATTCTCATTTAATACATTGAAGAGTATGTTTTAGGTATATATATATATAACACAGTATCGTTGCCAACTTTCTTGATATATCGAAACAATGATAAATACAGTAAAAATTGTGATGAATTAATCTTTAATACATACAAATTCAGTGTTAAAGGTCAGCGGTGATAATCATCTTTCCTTGACATGTTAAAATAGTTTTACCAAAAAACCTGATTAACTATTTTTTAATACTTTATAAATAATAAAAGATCAACATTTATATTAGTTCTTTGATTCAATGTCTTCTCTATACATAATTGAATAAGTAGAGTTGTTTAAACATTTGTTTAAAAACAAGTAAAAGCTTGGAATGGTCTATTCTTTCATTGGGGGT